TGTCTTACGCCGTGTACTTCGAGGGGTGGGGGTGGGGGACACAAGCTTAGGGAGGAGAGTAACTGCACGTCCTAGGTGGAGCTGTCCTGCCATCACTGGAATTGAGGCCCCAACCAGGCCCGTAATCACATGACGGAGGATCGCCTGCTCCTGGGTGTTGACTATCCAACATGGCAGAGAAAGCATGTTAGCTATCTCCTGGAGGGATCCTGCTTCCCTCACATGCGTCCAGTGTAGAGTGATGTACGCTTTCAAAGCTGCAAGCATTCTCCACTCCTGGACAGGAAACAGCAAACCTACGATGCATGCCGAAAGAAAGCCTAGCACGAATCCGATTACGATCGACTCACAAGGGGTTCGATCCGAGATTACACCATACTTGTTCTGGTACTGTTCTCCGACGTCGGAGTCTGACCCAGGGTCCCAAAGAGAGACGGGCGAAAATTCTCAGAGAGCACTCCCGTTGATGATGTCCAGGGTGAGGCTGACCCCGCGAGCCTTCGCCACGGGCACCGCGCGCTTCGGGAAGTGGGCCTGGATGCACTTGTTGACCTGGGCGACCACCATCTTGTCCGACATCCTCTCCTCAAGTACCGGCGCCGCCTGTGCCCAAGTAAGTCGGTTGGGTAACTGCTTCTTCGCACCAACAAGAGATTGTAACCAGCCTAGCTCAGGACGCTTCATGAGTGCCGTGCTGTCGGGGGGCTGGGCGACAGGAGTCGGGCTCGCCTCGCGATCTCGCTCCTTCTCTGTGTGTTTCTCCTTGCCGTCGGTGTCAGCAGACTCCAGCAACTTGGAGAGTTTGTCCCCGAAGCTGGACTTCATCGCCTGCGCCACGTACTCACTCTGCTTGCGAAGTTTCATCTCCTCAATCCTGTCCTGCTTGTCCTTGATGGTCGCCTTGAACTCGGGATCGACCGCCGCGAGCTCCTCACGTAACCGATAAACGTGTTCATCCTGACGTATTGGTGAGCGAGAGCGTACCCGTGGAGAGCCATATCTCCGACTGTCCCTGCCTGAGCCACGGTGTCGGTCCTCGTGGCGATCGCGGTGGTCGGAACCATCCCTGTCGTAGTAGTCCCGTCGATCACGATAATCCCGCAGGTCACGGACGCCCCGAAAGTCACGAAATCTCGCACCTCTCTGTGGATCAGGTAGTCTCGGCCCTCTCCCCGATCATCACGGTCACGGCGTTCAGGACTGAATTTGCGGTCACGGTCACGATCGCGGTCACGGTCCCGATCTCGGTCACTGCTGCGATCACGGGCTTTGGGATCGGGAGCGCGATAGTTGAAGGCAAAGCCCGAAGCCTTTCCCCCATTGTCACGACCGCTGTTCGCCCGTACCCAGGGTTGGCGTTCGCCGCCCCCGCCCATCTCGTGGTAGGGAAGGAAGAACTTGGACCAGCACCTCACGATCACTCGAGCCTTCTGGATGGCAACGGACCAGGGACACGCGTGAAGTGCGGCCACTAGGATAGACGCTGGGTGCCCCAGGGCATGTCATCAACATAACGACGTTGCCTAATCTCCACTTTTCCTGATGTCGGTGAACTGTTCATACGCCTGATCTGCATCTGCTACCACAAAAGATATGCATGACATCGGACCCGAGCGTCGTACACATACATCGTCAGACGGGGGTTCTAAATCATGTGCAGCACGTGCAATTGCCTTCGAGGCGTCTTTCATGTCAAACACCTCACACGATACTTCACTCGCACGTGAAAGATGGCGGGCGGCACGGCCAATGATCCTGTACCCCGCCGTGCCAGGTGCATTCGCCGAGTTAGCAATGCGACGCATGCAACTGTGACCAGGCTCCGCACAGCACCGAGTGCCATCAGGAAGGAAGCACTTGCGCTTGACCGTGGGGAAGACGTAAGGAGGTACTTTTTGTAAAAAAGAGGGGTGAGATAGCATTGTCTGGGATCGGAGCCAACTGGGGAGCCCATGTCGAGCCCTCGTCCATAACCAAATCGCTGCATCGTAACGGGAACGATCATGACGTACTTGTCAATCCTCATCCAACTCTGCTGTTTGGTGTAGCCATCTGACGATGTCGACACCATCCCCGTCCAAATTTTGTCACACTGTTTGTTGTCTGCTATAAATATACTATTGTTTGTTTGTTCCAACGTTTCTTTGAGGTCTTGTTCCATCTGCTGCCACTGTTGAGGGGGTGGAGGGAGGACTGCTGCATGGTCAGGTGATAGAGGCTGTATAAACTTCTGCTTCAAGTAATCCAACCCTCGCTGGATCGCAGGCCGTGCAAGTCGAGCTGATTGGGCCCATTCAAGTAGTCCAACTTCGCACTTCGAAAGGATAATGAAGGAACATGCCACACTGGAAGCTTCCACGGACCTGGGAACTGCTTCAAGTCGAGTGGCCCTGAAACAAAATTTCACGCTGTAACCGAGGCCGGCAAACAATCTGCCTGGTATTCCGCACAAAAACGGCTGGCTGAAACACGGTCTTTCCAAACTCTGCGGGCTCGAAAGGAAACGCGAGGAGGCTGGCTGTACCGCGTGCGGGCGGGTTCGAAACGCATCTTGCGGCACATAGCTTGAACTGAACCATGGACCAAATGCTGCAATCCACTAGCTTGAAACACAAAGGGTAGCTTCAAGACTGGTCTGCGCGCAGCAGGTAGGCCCAAGCCTTTGAGGTGCTGGTCAATGTGGAATCTTGCCATACGCACCCGAGTGAAATTGCACATGAAGTCTGGGGCCAACTCGGCCGCCTGGAACAGGATCGCCCCCAGCTCCATTCTGGAAGTGTACACACATACTGGAAGAGGTCGCCACTTGGCGGCTAGTAGAGCAAGGAAAAGACCTAGTCGCTCTGGCGCAAGAATCCAAAGGGGGCCTTCTTCTCCTGTGTTGTGCTATCTTTCTAGGATCTGCAGGGTGTAGAGGGTACGGTATGGGGCAGGCTCTGAAAGGGCTCCACGATACTTGTCAAGGGTTCCCACGCCATAATTTGGTATTATTTCCAGTAGCGCTGGTGTTGCCGTCGTCCAGACAGGAGGTGGAAGCGGACGAGGAGGGGGTCGTCGCCAAGAGGGAGGGCGTCGTCGTGGTGGTTTGATTTTGGGAGGTACGTATAAGGTCCCAAGGCCGCGTCGTAGACTTAGTTGTTCGGACTCGGTCGCATCGGCGCGGCTCGCAGACGGTCGAAGTCGTCGTATGGCTAACGTTTCGTAGTGAAATCTCGCTGCTTCAGTCGGGGTCCATAGTATCGGGAGGAAGAACACGGAGCCTCCAGAGCGTCTGGGTTCTCGATATCGTTGCCGATTTCCTGGTCGAATTCGTGGGTGAAGGAGCGCACGTACATGTTCTTGTATTCGTCCTAGTAGCCCAGGCAATGCACCTACCCTGAGGGACGCTTTACCAATGTACTGAGATGCGTGACATCCTAGAACATATACTACTGCTCGGTGGGGCTCACAAGTCTGTCCAAGTACACTTAGTAGGGCTGTCGATACGATAGGTCCCGACCAATCATGCTCCTCCATTCTGGTGGTAACATGCGATACACACGTCGGGCCCACTTCGGCATGGACGGCAAGGATAGAGCATGACGGAGACGACAAATGCCCGACATGATAAGTGTCACACCAATTGTACTCCACAACGCGGCCCCTCGGAAGGGACGACCATGCAAGGGTTTGTCACCCACGAACTTACACAACATGGCAAGGAATATATATATGTATATGCACGAACATGTCGATGATCACGACGAGACCACAACCACTGTCGAAGATGGGTGCCTACCTCCCCCATGGAGAGGCCATTGCCCTTCTCGAGGGTTGACTGGAAAAACTCAGCAGCCTGATGGTGAGCTGCGTCTTGATTCAGCGGTAACGGCATCACGAATCGTAGCTGCTCCAGCTCCTCACTCGTGGTCGCCCCCAATCTGAACTGGAAGTTGAATCTGCCATCCGACCGTAGCGCTCTTCGAACGTGAGACTCGTCATCCACAGGTTGATCGCCTCCTCGTGGCGTAGTGCATCCTCGTGATGAAAGCGCCTCCACTGTTCTTCTAGCGTCCACAGCATGGGCCCAAGGGTCGAATAGTAGCTGGCCGACGCTTGAGTCATCGCCGCGAGCCATACCTCCTTCCTGTTGCTAACAAAGGCTAGGATGATCAGGAACAACGAAGGTTGATCACATACAGACAGCAGCGTGGCTGGCATGATACTCGAAATGCACGTCGGGAAAGAGATCGAAGATGGAGAATGTCTGCCTGCTGCACACAGGGGGATATATGAACGTCCGTCGGTTGCAACTGGACGTGAGCTGTGATGCCCCGTAGCCCGAGGGCCGGCTTGAATCACAATCTGAGAGAGTCCCCTTTCTGCGTGCACACCAATGCCCGCGACCAATCCCTCCGAGAGCCTGCCAACAGGCAGGCTGACACCGTACCTTTCCGCTGTGAGCGTGTCGTGGGCGGAAGGCACCCTCAAACGAGGGTCTGGTCCGAAACGGTATGGATGGAGGTGGAGATGGACAGGATGAGAAGGACAGCAGATGACTCTCGGGTGGGAAAGAGAAGGAGAGAGAGAGAGAGAGAGAGAGCGAGAGGGAGACAGAGGGAGGGAGAGACAAGGGGGTTACACATAGAGGGACCTATATACATAGAAAAAGAGATCTAGTGAGAGAGATAGAGAGATCCACCGAGAGATAGAGAGATGTATCGATGGATATGTAGAGAGAATGAAAGAGAGAGGGGGAGAGAGAGAGAGAGAGAGACAGAGAGAGGGAGAGAGAGAGAGAGAGAAATACTTATATATATATATAGAGAGAGAGAGAGAGACCGACAGGTACAGCAAGGTCGCCACTGTTGCTTTGAACTGGTTCGTCTCAGAGCTGCATCGCCCGGAAACGTGTTTGGCGCGCGCGGAGTGCGCATCGCTGTTCCTGCGCCATCTGGATTTCTTAGTGGCGCGCGACCTGAGGGGATCCGCACACAGCCTCGGTGCCAGTGTGCCTCAAGATGCCAGTGGCGTCACACCGATTGTCCGGCATAGGCTCCAGATGCTCGAACGAGGCGAGTGGCATGAAGCGGTGCAAGCTGCAGCAGCTGTTGCCACGACGGCGGCCGCCCGAGCTGCTGAGTGACGCACTGAGGCTACTTCGGAGGACTCCGACGAGCTACAGAGGAAGCAGTTCGAGTCCAGCATTTTTAAGGTCCTGCACGGGGACGTTCGGACCGGGCGCTGGATCTTAGCAAACAGCGGCGTGCACCCCTCCTGCGACGATACCGTCAACCTCATGAAGGGCAAGTTCCTCACCGACCCTGCCGACGACTCCATCGGGAATCGTCCTGGCCTGGCGCGGAAGGCCGCCCGTTGCAAGCCGCCGGTGGTGCAGCCGAGGATCGTCAGCACGGTCGTGGCACGGACAGCGGATTGCAAAGCCTCGGATTGCAAGATCGCGTCCGACCCCTCGGGCCTCGTGGCGTTGACTGGTTGGGCTCAGGCGTGGGTGTCTGGCTCCATACCGGAAGTCATGGCTGCGCCCTGGAGGTCCGTTCTGGGCGTGCCTCTCCGGAAAGGCGACGACGGGGCAGACGTCAGACCCATCATGATCGGAGAGGCCTTGCTGTCGCTGACCCGGGGCGTGCCTGCAGGAGATGGTGCAGCACAAGGTCACAAAACTGCTTTCGGGTACCCAGCTCGGCATCGGAGAACAAACAGCTCCAGAGACTATGCTGTGCATCGGCAGGGCGTTGGCCGAGCTCTGCCCTGGCGACGCCTTCTGCGCTTTTGATATGCACAACGCCTTTGGCGAGGTCTCCAGAGCAGAGATCATGGAAGAGGTGCACAAGGAGGTCCCAGAGATAGCACTTTACTTGTTGAACCTGTGGGGGCCCGCCGGCACGCCAGTGTACACGGCATCAGGGCCGGCTGCGTGGAGTTGCTTTTCGATGGTTGATGGTTTGTATCAGGGTCATACGTTGTATTCCCTACTGTTTTGCTTGGGTCTCCGCCGGGCTCTTCGCCGATTCCTTGAGGCGTATTCTGCGTCGGCCTGCGCTGTTGCAGGCGCGCCAGTGCACTTCGAGTACATGGACGACATGCTCATGAAGCTGCAGCCGGATATGGTCGGATCTTGGCTACCGATCTTGGTCGACGCCCTGGCCTCCGTGAACCTCCGGCTGAACCTGCGCAAAACCAAGGTATGGATACCTTCTGCTCTGGCTGATCGACCCCGCCCGGCCCTCATGCAGGCAGGCCTGCCGCAGGTCTTCGGCAGCCTGGAAATCATGGGGGGCGCTCTCGAGGGCCAGCACGCGGCGTCGATCGGGTGCTCAACCACGCCGGCTGTTTCGACGAAGCGCTTGGAGCAGGCAGAGAAACTGGCGCACACGCTGCAGGAGATGCTGCGCACACCCCTGGCGAGACCTGTTCACCGTGTTGTATGGACGCTACTGGACAAGGTACTTAACAAGGCATTGGACTACGACGCCCGCATTCTTCACCCGGAGTTTTTCTCCACTCTTGCGGAGCGATTGGACCGTGCCGTGTTGATCACATCTTGCAAAGCAGTGCGCGTCGACAGGTTCACCGTGGTGCAAGAGTCGTGTCTGAGGTTGTCTGCTAAACTTGGAGGGTGCGACTTGGTCAGCTGCGCTTCCAAAAGCTCATTTTCTCATCTCGCCGGAGCTGTCCAGTACTTGCCGGCAGTGACGCGGAGGCTCCAGGATCTCGGTTCCGACCAGAGGCGCATCGCGGAGGTCGTGGACTTGGGCGGCGTGGCACACTGTCTTACCGCGCTTGCCCAGCGCGGCGTGCACGTGAGGCCCGACTGCACGGTGGTTTGCGGAGCTCCGCCCGCAAGCAGCCTGGAGCCATCCTCTTTGCTGTGGGGCCAGGCGCGCAAACTGCACGGAGCGCTGCTGGAGGCATTGCAGTCTACTTTGCACGAGGCTCTGCGGGCTCGCTACTTTGGGTCGCAACGAGATTTGGCGCGCTTGCAGAGCTGCGCGGGGTCTGTCTCCAGCCGGTGGCTCACCGAGTTTCCCGCGTCGTGGTGGCCAGAGATCACGGACGACAAGTTTGTGATGGCTCTCAAGTTCAGGCTCGGCCTGCAGGTGTATCCTGCTGGCCTGCAGTGCATGCGCGCGAAGTCCAAGGATCAGGCTGATCGTTGTGGCAAGGATCTGGACATGTTTGGCGACCACGCCGTATGCTGCAATACGGGCCCCTACATTTCGATGCGGCACGGCTCGTTGAACGGCGTTCTGGCGCAGGCTGGACGCGACGCCGGGTACTCGGCGCTGCTGGAGCAAACCGTGCCCGAGCTCGGCCTGAGGAAGCGCCGGCGGGACGGCAGGGAGGTCCTGGAGGAGGCCGTCCTGGACGTGGACCTGTTCGGACACCCGACTGCCCCAGAGCGTCTCCTCGACGGCACGGTGCGCCACCCCGCGGCCGCGCATATCCTGCCGGCGGCTGCCGCGACGCCAGGCGCAGCCGCGGCGGAGGGCGTCCGGTGCAAGGAGGACCGGTACCCAGACACGGGCGGCAAGGCTGTCGTCCCGTGCGCCGTCGAAACCTGGGGCCGCGTGGACGCCAAGCTCTCCAACTTGCTGGACGAGCTTGCTGTGCTGGCGGCCCAGCGCCAGCGGGACCGCGGTGTCCTGCCAACGCGCTGGGGGGCCCGCTGGCGGACGTTGATCAGCGTCCGGCTGGCCATGGGCGTGGCCCGGGCCTTGCTGGACGCGGCGCCCGCTCAATGCCGGCCCTGCGGCGCCGTGCGGAGCAGGGCGGCGCGGGGCACGCTGGCCGCGGGCCAGGCGGGCGGCTGGGCCGAGGGCCGGGCCGGCGGCCAGGCGGGCCGCGGGCCAGGCGGCGGCGGCGGGTAGCCCCCTCCCCCTCCCCTCTTTCCCTCCTCCTCCGATGCGTGCTTGCCTTGAGGGATTGGTGATTGGACTGCGAGAGAGAGAAAGAGAGAGAGAGAGAGAGAGAGAGAGAGAGAGAGAGAGAGAGAGAACGAGAGAGGGAGCGGGAGAGTGAGAGAAGGAGAGGGGGAGACCTATAGGGAGAGAGAACGAGCGAGAAGCACCACGTGAGACATCGAGAGGGGCGTGTTTCTTTCGTTCTCTGTGGTGGCACGGGGAGGTGCTGTACCTTGATGACACGAACTCCCTGAGACCCACTGGCGTAGTGAATGCAGGCGCCCGCTGCATTTGCCAACGGTGCCTGGTCCAGGAGGGGGACGGAGATACGCTTTGGAGTGAAGTAAAACAACTCAGGCTGACAACGGAAGGAGGGGACGGATAATGATGACGACGACGTCGACGACGACGATGACAACGATGATGATAATGCTGATGATGATGCTGATGATGGTGATGATGGTGATGCTTACGATGATGCTGGTGATGATTATGATGATGCTGATGTTGCTGCTGCTGCTGATGATGATTATGGTGATGTTGGTGATGACGATGCTGATGCTGATGATGCTGATGCTGATGATGCTGATGATGATTGCGTTGCTGATGGTGATGATGCTGATTGTGATGACGAGGCGGATGAGGCGGACGATGATGTTGGTTTTGGTGCTTATTGTGATGATGATGCTGATGATGCTGCTGCTGATGATGAGGCTGATGATGATGCATATGATGGTGCTGATGATGCTGATTCTGATGATGAGGATGATGATGCTGATGCTGATGATGGTGATGATGATGATGATGATGATGAAGAGGATGGGGAGGAGGAGGAAAACGAGGAGGAGGAGGGGGAGGAATAGGGCTTCAAAGAAGGCAGAGGGACTAGCATGAGGAGGGCTTGCGGTGTGGCTCTATCGAACCCTGCCGGTTCCGAAGCTACTCGAGTATTTCGAAGACGGGCAACGATGGCGACCATCATTGTGCGCATGGATCGGCAGGGCTTTTTGGGACGAAAGGGGGCAACGCGCGTCTGGCCGCTGTGCCCCCCCGTGGCAGAGGTAGCTCTTCTTGCTTCAACGAGCCAGTTCTTTTGCTATGGTGCCGTCTGCATCGTTTCCAGGCTTGTTGCGGCAGCGGCACTGGCTTCGATGCCCGCTGCGACGACCTGCGACGATGGGGGCGCTGCTCGGGCTGGGCCCGCGGACTGGTACGCAGGAGATCCGCCTAGCCAAGACAATCGTCTGGGAGCTGCAAATTGCTGATGTGGTCCTCCTCTTCCTCCTTCTAAGGTCGCCCAACTTTGAACCGGGGGTTTCGTAGCGTCTGCGAACAACGGACGCGAAACTAATCCAGGAGGACAAGTGCAATCCAATATTAGCGCGATCGAAATGCCTGGACATCTGCACCTGAAGACGAGGAATGTGCATGGAGTATGAAGGAAGAAGGCACATGCGGCGAGAGCAGACTTGGAGTATGCAGATGCCTGGGTATGGCAAGGTTCCTTTCCACGAGCGCCTTGTATATCCTTCCTCAGCCCAATTTCAACCCTCCCCTTTACAAAAGGCCCTCGTCGAGGATCAGTGCAGCTGAGAAGCAGGGACCTATGTACCGCCGATGTATCGCAGGGCCTCATCGTAGCACCTACTGCAAAGAACTGCTCTGTCAACTGTATCTGTCGATTGCAGTATTGTGGGCCCGGGTCTGGCAGCAGCGGGGCGGGCGTCCTGCCCAGGGCGCGCTCGCGTGACAACGTTCGCGCGGCAACTGATCGCGCTCCTCCTCCAGTACATCACACCTCATCCTGACAGCTCCACATCCTCCTCCGCGGCGTGCAAACGGCACCGAGCGCGGTAGGAAGTAAGGCTGAGAGCTGATGGGACGGTTGCTCGAAGGAGTTTTTAAGTAGTGAACGCGAGGCGACACGAGTATAGCGGTACGAAATACTTGGTCTGCTTTTGCGCGCTCGAAGAGGAGCATGGATGCTGTGATCGCTGGGTTGAAACTGCTCTCGACGAGGAACTTCGAGTGATGGAAGGGCATGGGCAGAAAAGTAACCGTGGGGTCCACCCCATTTCTTCATCAGCGCAATCCCCCTTCCCGCTGCAGCATGTCTCAAAACGACGCCTCCATCCTCTTCTTCCAAGAGTCCATACGGCGCTCGGTGCGCAGGACTTCGGCTGGTGCGGCGGTCCTTATACCGAGGGACTCTGCGTGTCCTCCTGCACCGCCAGGTTACCTCCACCAGCGCCTCTTCCCTCCCTCCCTGATGCATCCTGTCCGTGCGTGAGAGATCAGAGAGGCCACGGCCTCACACACCTGGTCTCGGTTGGGCCCGGACGCCTGTCCGACGTGGTGGTTCGTTCGTGCGTCCCCTCGTGCCCTCCCGGGCCACCTCACTTCCCCCATTCGCCCTCTGCTTACGTGCACGCACCGCCGCAGGGGGCGGTCCACAAGCGGAGGGTTCGGTGCAGTCTTCCCAACGGGCGCAGCCTTCGGCCTTCGGCTGCACCAACCGCTGGGGCGCGCCGCATGGCCGAGCTGTGAGCTCGGAGCCAAACTTCGCTCTGCATTTGGTGGGCAGCGAGCGGCCACGCAGAGCCCAGCGTTTTCCGTCGGCTCCCTGACGGCCCAGCAGAGAAGGCAGGCGTAAGCCATCGCCTAAAAACCGCTCCCCTCCTTTCCTCCTCCTTCTCCCTCAGGTTTCCCTTCAGCTTTCGCCTCAGCTTTCCTCCTCCTTCTCCTTAGCTTCCTCCTTCTTCTCAGCCATCCTTCAGCGTTCCCCTCCGCTTTCCTCCTTCTTCTCCCAACATATTGCTAAGCAAAGGGCGTAAGCCATCACGCATGGTGGGCCGATGCGCACTGAAGTGCGCAGTCGCCCGATGGTCTCAGCCGCACGATGGCGTAGCTTCCCCACGTGGACACGGCTGCCTCCCCTTGCGCGTGTGCGCGCGCGAACATGAGCTCTGCTTCCTGCTGCCGAGGCCGCGCGCGTGCCTACGCGCAGGGCCCATTTCGATCCGATCGATCCGATTCGATATCGATTATTGCCGGCTCGATCCGATTCGATTCCGAAGTTTTGACGATCCGATCCGATCGACCGATCTGTGCATCGTGACACGGCAGAGCAGATTCGATCTCAGCTCCGTGCCGATGCAGCCCGATCTGATTCACAGTCCGATTCGACCATATTTCCTGGTCCGATGCTGACTGACCCCAACTTTAAGGGTAGCTCTTTGGGAGATGTGATAGAGGATCGGGAGTATAGCCTGCGCGCCGCTGCCTTTGGCTCAAGGCACGCGCGCCCTATTTGCCCGGACACTTACCTTAGTGTTCGCTATGCGCTGGAAAGATCATTACATCGATCGTATCCTATCCTATCCATCCACTCCCCATATCGTATTCTTTCGACATGGAATTGGATACTATATGACCTACCAGAGTCATTTCTTACTTGGTAGCGGAGCTGGCCGCACTCTCGTGTGGTCAGCTCTTGCAATTCTTATCCTCACGCTATCCGGCACGATCTTCGTGACCAACTTCCACCCTGCGCCGCCACTCCAACTACATTTACGAGGATCAATTCAAGAGCAAGAAGAAACACGAGAGGTACGACGTCTAGACAACAACATTGGTACCATATACGCTTCATCACTACGCTAGTACCAACCGCTCGGCAACGAGCCCAAAGCGCAGCACTTGAAGCATAGGCGGGGTGACCCGCAAGATGAAGCGCCTCGTAGACTTGACAAGGCGCTACAAGCCCCACCCCAGCGCGGCAACGCGCCTGATAACCACCCATATCTTCACAGCCTTGGGCTGGTTATCTTCGCCATCATATGGTTTGCGCTGGGGGCAGCAATCGGACACATGCGCCGAGGAGACAATAGCACAGATGGGCAAACACATGGCCCATACTGGGACCCTCAAGGCAACGTACCTTTCCGCGAATACGTTTATGAGGTCAACGCGTGGCTTAACGTCACAAGCGGACGCATGACGCCACAAGCCCAAGCAGCCGCCATACAACGCGGCCTGGGTGGGTTAGCGAGGACACTCGCCATGAGGGTACCACCTGGCATTATAAACTATGGTGCGGACATCGATGGTGTCCACACCGACCCAGTAACCTATATTATGTTCCTCCTAAGCATGAAGTTCGAACGCTTGGAAGACGAGCGCCAGCTCACTTCAGGCACTCAGCTCATCGACTTCCACGTGCCTCACGGAGAACGAATCGATGTAACCCTTACTCGGTTCGAGATGGCCCGTCTTGAGGCACAGTCGGTGGGTTTTGACCTTCCCAACTTCCAACTGCCCACGACTATCCTTCTCCGCGCCCTAGGTGTTGGTAGCCAGCGAGCCATGCAACTCTTACAGCCACTCAACCACCAAATGCCCCGAACACAACAGCAGTATGACGAACTGTGTGAGAGGATGCGCTCTATAGGCCATTTGTCAGAACGGTCTCCTGGTAACATAGGATCAGTGTTTGGAAGGGGAAGGGGAACTGGCAGTGGAAAACACTTCTATACTACCTTAACCACTGAAGCTCAGCCTGGCAACGGGCCTTCAAACATATGGGCCGACGATCCTGGATAATCTACTGCCCTACTCGCAGGGGGTCGATCACAACCGAGCTGGGCAACCAGCCCTCCTCCTAGAGAGCCTCAACCCCACCGTTCCCTATGGGGTGAAGCGAATCCCCTATATGATGGGATATCCACCTACTTAAGTAACGACGACTTCGACTCCGGCACCGACACCGGCACTATATCATCAGATGGTATCGAACCCTTAGATTGGTCAGATATCATGCACATGGAAGGGGACAATCAGCGTGCCGAGCACCTGTTCTGGTTATTACAACAAGCAAAGCGTAGGTGGAGGAGGTTTACACGAAAACCAGTGCGTCGTGTTAGGAGGAGGATACGGAGGAGCTTCAAAGGAAAAAGGTAAAGCCAGACGGGGTCGCCGAAGGTTGAACGGACGAGGCATCTCGGCTGTCCTCCAGAGGCTTTCAGATGATCAGTATGATGAGATTTTTTTCGGGGGAAAAGGCAGTGGAAAAGGCCGTAGGGAGACCTCGGGCAAAGGTGAAGGTAGGCGGGGATACCCGCGAGGTAGAGACGGCCAGATCTTAAAGTGCCATGAATGTGATAGTACCGATCATATTGTAAAGGATTGTCCAGCGAAGGGAAATGGAAAGGGTAGATCGACCGAAGTCCATGTAGGCTCAAGCGAACCGTCTATTGAATATCTGAGCCTCCAAGACTTC